TCTTGAACAATTTCACACGCATCTAGAACCGATAACAATACTACAACTTCGCTCTAATATCCTGGCCAGTATACCGTTTTGAAAACAAAAATAGATAAAATTAATTGTTAGTTCGGTTTGCTATTTAATCATGTCTTGTTTGTTTTTTGAAAATACATTTTATTCTGATTAGATTTTGAACAGCATTAAACAAAAATAGAAAATCTTTTATTGACCTATAAATGCGATCACACATTCCGCTTGATATTAAAGGAGACACAGGATCCCAAAAATGTCACAACATGGATTTCACTGCCCTCGGATCAGACATCGGAGTCTAGTCAGGTCAACTACATTTGTAAAACAGTTCTAATTGACTGACCGCTGGCTTAGTAAATAGCAGCCCTGACTGCTGGGCCAAGAGTCGTGGGTGCCCATTTTGGACATTTAACGAACAATTTTGTCTTGTCATCAGGTTTGAGCCCCGTGAGCTCACCTACTAGTTAAGGCGACGCTGATATAGCCTATCAGGGCTATCAGCTTAGGTAGGAAAAATAAAAATAAATAAATAAATATATAGCAGCCCTAACTGCTGGGCCAAGAGTCGTGGGTGCCCATTTTGAGAATTTAACGAACAGTTTTGGGTTTACTCTCTGTCTGGGTCTTTAATTTAATATCTAAATGTACATAAGTACATACTCGTTGATGTATATCATATTTATATAGGTATTGTGATATGTGAATGGGTGAACCGAAAAAAAATTTTTTTTTTTTGACACGATGCAAATTTATTTATTAGTGAAAGATAGGTTAATAATAATATATTATATTATAGATTAACAGAAATCTCCAAACGCTTGAAGGAGGTTACACGTGATGCTAAGGCTGGCTGGTACTTTGCACAGAGAGTGAGTCTAGCTGTCCAACGAGGCAACGTAGCCAGTATCTTGGGAACTGTGCCTCCTTCAAGCGCATTGGAAGATCTGTTCTACTGTGTCAGTTGATTTATGTTAAATTATTTTGATTTGACTTTTTGTTAATAATAATAAATTGTATTTATAGATATTAGATTATAGATAATAATAGATTATGCTAACTTCATTTAAAGCTGTGATAATATATACTGTATTTCGTCTTCTATTCTATAGGCCACTACTGGACTGATAATAGGACATAAATAAATACGAACACACGACAGCGAGCCAACACAATGGCCGGTGTGTCGGACACTAGTGTTTTTTTTTTTTTTTTTTTATGATTGGAAGTTTACTGGTGGCCCGAAGGCCTTTCCAGTTTCACCAGGACAGGTGGGCGAGCAAAGGCTCAGCCAAGAGGGGTGGGATTTGCTAACAACTGCCCGAGCGCCTCCGAAGGAGACCTAACAACTCAAGAGCAATTGTTTCGCGAATGAATCTACTACCGGATCGGAATCGCGACCCGCTGAGAAGATCCGGCGAGAAACTCAGCGGGCTGATGCATGGGTTAGGTTGCACGTCGACCTCTTTGTCGAGTTCGACGAGTACGGTTACCGGGGTCCCTAAGCCTGCCCCTAGTATTAGAGCTGAAGGCATCTAATGCAAAGGTTATTGGATCTGATGGATCCGTAAGGACGTGTCTAGGGCGTCGACGGTGACTGGCTCCTGCATGATCAGGATTCGGGGAGTAGTCAGCGGCGGCAACGATAAGGCGATTATCATGACGCATAGCCTTATCGAAGTATCGTTCCGACGCTGACTTCATGTATTTCCGAATTGATTCGAGGCCCAGGTCGTCGTGTAGGTCAACGTTCCTCACGAACCACGGAGCCCCGACAGCTAACCTGCAAAAGCGGGATTGTAGGGATTGGAGGGTGTCTATGTGTGTGCGGGCCGCGTGAGCGAACACCACACTCGCGTAAGTCATGACGGGCCTTATGCAAGTTTTGTAAAGTGTCACCTTGTTCCGAAGGGACATTTTACTCCGCTTACAGATCATGGGGTAGAGTCTACCGAGAATAAACGCGGCACGGTCACGGACTGATTTTATATGCGGGCGGAATGTCATCGATGCATCCAGGGTAACGCCCAGGTACTTGACCTTCCTGGCCCAGGGTATGGGTTGTCTAAAGAGAGTAATCGGGGGTGTGAGATTCCTCCTCCTAATCCGGGAGGAAATCCGTGTGGAGCTTCCCCTCTGAAATAGCACCGCAGTACTTTTCGCTGGGTTGATGTCTATGCGCCATTTTCGGAACCACTGTCCTAGGGCTAGGGCTGCGCTCTGAAGCTTCTTCGCGATTAGGGACTTATTTCTACTAGAATAGTAAACAGTCGTGTCGTCGGCGAATAAAGCTAAATGGGTCGGCGGCGACCGGGGAATATCGTTGACGAATAAGCTAAATAGGAGGGGTGAGAGGACAGAGCCTTGCGGGACTCCAGCTGTGAGAGGTCGTGGGGAGGAGCGGGTTCCCTCGACTCGATATCGAAAAGAGCGGTTCGACAAGAAGTCCCGTATGATGAGCACGAGACTATCCGGCACGCCCATGTTGAATAGTTTGAAAATCAAACCATTGTGCCAGACTTTGTCGAACGCTTTTGCGACGTCGAAGAAGAGAGCTCCCGTGTATAACGGTTTTGGTCGATTAAGCCCCACAAGAATGTGCTCCGTGAGGCGGTGCACCTGTTGAACGCATGAGTGATTTGTACGGAATCCGAATTGTTCATCGATGAGAATGCCCTTGGATGAGACGAAGTCTCTGAGGCGTTTGTAGAGCAGACGCTCATACAGTTTGCCTAGAGACATGAGGAGGCTAATCGGGCGGTAGCTCGTCGGATGATTTTTTGGTTTACCGGGTTTATGTATGCCGATAACGTCCGCTTCTTTCCACACCGCGGGAAAGATACAGTTCGCCATAGCGGCATTGAAAATAGATGCCAACATCACGATGAGTTGGACGGGTAGAAGTTTAATAACGCGGTTGGATATACCGTCGGAACCGGGAGCCTTGCGAGGACGTAGGTCTTTGATCAAGTCTTTAACTTCCATCGGGGTGACGGGTGGTAACGCATCCGAGGGTGGCAAGGAGGCTCTGCGTTCTACCTCACTGTCTACTAATTCTACATGAACAGGGTCCACGGATTGAGTGCTGGGCGTGCACTGGGTTTGCAATGTATCGGCCAGCAGCTCTGCTTTTTCGTCATCATCGAACGCCGCGAGTCGGCCTGAGGGGCCTACGAGGGGGGGCATAGTTACTACCGTATCCGATTTGAGAGTACGAGCTAAGCGGTAGTAAGACCTTTGGGAGGGCGCGAGTCCTTCTAAGAAATCAGACCATCTGGCATCTCGGACTTCGGCGATGCGAGACTTTACGTCGCGTTGTAGGGCACGCATTCGAATACGATTTTCCGCGGTAGGATACCTGTCGTAGGCGCGTATCGAGGCGTTCTTAGCTCTAAGGAGTTCCCTAATATCGTCGGACAATTTGAAGCGGTGAAGGAAGTCCTCCGCTACAACTTGTTTCGATGACCTATCTAATGTCGAGGTGATGTGTGACGTTAAGATGTCTATGGCTTCAGCGGTATCCTGAGGAGACGGGGTAGAGTCCGGGTTAAACGGGAGCGATGGTGGATCAGATTCAGCCAGGCTGATGCCCAGCGTGTGCCAATCCACCACAGTCCTCGTGACGGGAACGGAATCGGGAGCGCGACCGAGCTTCATAACGACGGGACGGTGGTCTGAATCTAACTCTGAAACTACTTCGATCGAGTGTAAGCGCAGAGTTACGTTTTTTAATAACGCTATGTCGAGTATATCCGGGCGATGCGCGATATTTAGCGGGTAGTGAGTCGGGGTTAGCGGAGCGACGATATCGAAGGCGAGATCATCGACTAACGCGTCAAGCCGCCTGCCATTCGGGGTTGTGGTGTGTGAGTTCCACCTGATGTGTTTACAATTTAGGTCGCCCGCCAGAATGACAGAGCTCCCCATACCGAGCAGCGCCTCGATATCACTGCTTAGAACGATCTTATCCGGTGGAAGATAAACGGACGCGATAACGATCGGCGCGTGTCCCGTCAGTGAGATTCGGCACACTGATGCTTCGATATTAGCGAGCGCGGGAGGATCGAGCGGGACGCAATGCAGGGCTCTTCTATAGTAAATGACGGTACCACCACCACGAGCAGAGAGCCTATCTGTGACAACCGGCAATTGACTTTTTGATGTTTTAAGATTTGTTTTCCAAAATAATTATTATTTTTTTGGTATTTCTTTCTAATAGATAAATAAGTAGAGGTTTGAAAGACAGCTTCGACAAGACTCAAAGTAGACATCATAATTCACGTTGTGCTTTCTGTGAGATATGGTAAACGCTTGCTGGAGGTAAACTAAATTGCCGGAGTACATAAAAAAATCATTGAAAATGGGGAAACAGCGAAAACGGGATCAAGTAAGTTCACAGCATTGTTGAACTTTAAACCGTAATTTTATTGATTTAAAATAATCTTAGTTATATAACTATTTTATTAGACGTAATTAATTATTTCAGCCGTTGCCACAATATTCTCGTTGTGGAAATATAATCAACACATTCGTTAAAGGAAAAGCTGAGAGCGACCCCTGCATACACAATCGCCTTTTCGCATTAAAAGTGTACAATTTCCAAAAATATTCGGAATTGAGTTAATATGCGTAAACATTTGGTATCACCAGTATTTTTCTCATAAATACTGTCCAAAGAGCGTAGTTTAGTTTTTTTCTTTTTTAGTTAACCTATGTTTTGACTACTATTAACAAAATTAATACATAATTTTATTTTACTTTAAACGACAGAAAATGTAACTGGTAAAAAATAAAAAATGATTAATATTAAAAATATTACATGTTAAACCTTTAAAACACTCTCCTGTAAAATTAGTAAGTTTTGAGATTATACAGTTTTATTGCGAGAAGACGAGTCATGTCAGAGGTAGTATTCCTGTAGAACTCTTAAAAAAGAAATTTTGTAATTTTTACTATACTTAATTTTTATTTATCAGCGAAACTTACCTTAAACCACGCCATTGTTGAATCATCGTAAAGCACCACCCATTCTTCTGACCATGAGCTCCAAAGATTGTATTTCCCTGTTGAGAAGCCACATTTCATTAGCAGCGTAATTAATAATAATTTATCTCACAATAAAATAGATCTTATGTGATAGTAACCAAGAAGTTTTGTTGTGCCACAGGGATTGCTGATAATTGATTGATGATTATATCGAATTTCAAATTCACCTGCAAACTTTGTATAAGGTAGAAAGATGCTCTAACTATTCTGACTACACTAAATTGCAGCATTTTAAGAAGGTTCGGTTGATGAAAATATATTTTTAAGAAATTTGATTTCTTTATGCTTTAATTAATTATTCCGCTGGATTGACCTCATCACCCGCACTACGAAAGCCACAGTACAGTGTGCTCGCAATGCTAACAGCCGTCTCCAATGGCAGAACATCAGTTAATGTGCGGCTGCCTTGAAAGCGAGCGGCGACAACGAGACGCAACCCTGGGCATTGACAGCCACCGCTTTTCTGCCAAGGGTATCTGACTAGGAAGAAGAACATAAAATTTTCGGCCACCCGTGGTACCGTTTTTGTATCCAGCTCTGGGTATGTACTAAAGGGAATTGTTGTATTCCTACATTGGTAATTAGCACCATAGTGCATTTTGTTTGAAGCGTGGGTTGGCCACTTTACCATTGCAATTCTTTCAACTTTATCTACCTACCTAACCTAAAAAAAAATTTTTCAACTGTTTCCTTCGATTTTATTAACAAATTAATTGTGCTAGTTAACTAGGTACATATTCGTGAAACAAATGTGTTTATTTAACAGAAAACAAATCCGCCAGGCTAGTTGGCAAAACACGACATAGCTCAAAGATGCCGTTGAAAAATTCAAACAAATTCCTCTCAGTGTGTGGGTAATATTCATTTTCATTAAGCTAACACCAACCCATCCTGTGTCTACTAAAGCCACGATAAAACCGTAAAACGCGTCTGCGTCCCGAAATTATGTACTCGTCTGTATTAACTTTGATACTCATTGGGCAGATTGGATTGGCGAAATGATTACTTAGGTATAGAGAAACGTAATATCGAAAACGTTACGTAATTTTATACGTAACCGGTATGGCCCGACCAAGACCCGGTATGGCGCGACCAGAACAACGTCAAAACTTCAATTGCATTGTTAACTATTGAACAATGCATTTCCTACACATAAAACCGGTGCAGATAACCGTTTTGCCGACAGAAATAGGTAAGTTGGTGTCACGGGCGGGTAAATAATCGTCTAATCAAAAGGCAGACAGATTTCTTAATACAAAATACTGTTTCGTACAACGTAGTTCGGCTCTGACCTCTGACCGACATTAACCCGAAAGCGAACCCCTTTTTACGGCTCCCGTGCTCGTTTATTATTGCCTCCATAGTTCTTGTATGATGGAGTGCCGATATTTTTATTAGGAACCTGATATGAGGGCTTCGGTGGCAGTAAAACGGACGGCCGAGACGTAATGCTTTATCGATACTCACGTTTGTACCGGAGCATATATCCTCCTTTGATTTGCGTAGCGCCATGCTCTGAAACAATATAATGTAATATAATATAATGTGTTTTGGGTCACTTCTGTAGATGTTGTTACCGATTGTGACGTCAATAATAAGGAAGTAATACACAGTAATGAAAGAGACCGTTTATTCCGTAAGATGGTACATGTGTTTTCATAAAGACCGGCGCCGGGCAACTGGTGCAGCGAAATGCAATAATTGCATGCGCAAGCGCTTACGTGTCCCTACAATGTGTATTAATTACTGATGGTAGGAATTCTTGTGAGTCCGCACGGGTAGGTACCACCACCCCGCCTATTTCTGCCCTGAAGCAGTAATCGTTTCGCGTTAAAGGCTGGGGCAACCCTGTAAAACTGAGATATTACAAATCATGTCTCAAAGTGGGTGGCGGTATTTACGTTTTAGAGGTCTGTGGGCTCCGGTAACCAATTAACACTAGATGGTTCGTGAGCTCGTCCACCCATCTAAGCAATAAAATAATAATAATAATAAACGTTTAATTATCCCTGCAGAACTCATACACTTTGGGGGATTAGGCTTTGTTTTGAACGTAAACCGTTTTAGTAAGAAACATTTTTAGGGTAAGCTATGGGGTTAATAAGGTTGTGGTCCATTGGTTGTTAGGTGGTTACGAAAGACAAGATATAGCTCAGAGTGATTAAATACCACGCTTCATCTTGAGATGTGAAATTGAAGGTCAACTGTATTATATAAGACTGCCCTTCCCTTAGAATCGGAATGCATTATTCCGTTCAAATAATCAAGATTTAAGTGCCTATTCGGACTCCAGTTGTAAAACGTAAAAGCATCACACTGTATAACAAATATTAAAATTAGTAACAGGCTTTATAAAAAGAAAAGGACTCAATATACTAAAGTTTCACTGACCAAGAATTCGTTTAATAGTGACATGAGTATGGCTCACAAATTAGCATAATTTTTAAACATTCAAACCATCGTTAATTAATGCGGTTAAATTATTAATTATTTTTTTAGGCCAATAAACATATTATTAGTAGTTAATATTATTAACAGTTTGCTGAAGTTACTATTAAAATAATAAAAACCTTCACAAAACAAAAACACAACGTCACATTTTGTTAAAAAAAAATCCTTTTACATTTCTTCATTAATGAGTAACAACTGACTAATTCCATTCAGAAATAATAAGAGATCTCATCAGGCACAAAAATGCAATTAAATCGTTTAGAGTCGCTGATTCGAATTTTCCGACATTCCCAGTGAAATTTCAATGGCCTTCATCGCGATGAAAAGAAAGCCTAATCTTTAGGTCGTTTATCTTATAACACGTGGATTTTATTACTTTGTATTACCCGATTTCCTCACACGGATTACGGGTAATTTTTTCATGAGTATGTTCGTTTCATTTTTTATACGTCACGTGTAGTATAAGTGATTTGGGCCATTTTTATTTATAAAACGTAGTGTTCAGCTAAAGCTGTGCAAACGTCAGTAGTTATCCCGTATCTTTAATTAATATGAATAAAAAAATATAATATTCGGGAACTCGTTTAAGGTAAAAATTCGTTTTTTTTTTATTGCCCTTGTAGGCAGACGAGAATACGGCCCACCTGATGGTGAGTGTTTACTGTCGCCCATGGACTTCAGCAATGCCAGGGGCAGAGCCAAGCCGCTGCCTACCGCTAACTAAGCCGCTGCCTACCGCTAACTAAGNCAGACGAGAATACGGCCCACCTGATGGTGAGTGTTTACTGTCGCCCATGGACTTCAGCAATGCCAGGGGCAGAGCCAAGCCGCTGCCTACCGCTAACTAAGCCGCTGCCTACCAGCGGGCATCTGGCAAATAATAACACTGTTTATGGACATAAAAATAACAACGCAGTCAGTAAAATTTTGATAGTTCGTTGTGTTATGAATAATTAGTTACGCAAACTAAAAAGCTCAGGCCTTTAAACTGCGAAGACCCGGCGAGAACTCACCGTGTATTAGTATATTATACACCGTGTATGCAAACCAGACAAAATCAATGTGGCTGTTTATCACTTCGCATGACGTTGTTTGGTATTTTCCCGTTTCGTGTTCACTTATTTTTAAATTAGTGATTATACTCGATATGGAGTTTGTTCTACCCTTATTTATTAAAGGAATAGAATGCTTATATTTATAAAATACTAACATTATGCGTCTTTAAAATTGTTTTCTTCATAAGACCTGTAACACGTTAACTTATAGATGGGAATTCATTTTTGAAAATACAAAATATTCTTAGTACTTTTTTCTAAGTTAAAATAATAATTAAATTACTTTAATTGTAATGATATTAATAGGAAACTGTGGAGAATTAGTACATACATGCAGCTGATTGCAGCTATGCATAGATAATACACATAAATTAGTTATAGATAAGCAACTCAAGCACTCAACAAAAATGTTTACGGGCGTCGGCCACTACATGGCTTCGCTTCGATTAGTTTCTCATTGCTCCTGTAGATGGCAGAAATATATTACCTATCCTATATTTTATTTTTAATGAAGGATTTTTTGAATTTTCAGAAACCACTAATTGATAAAATTGTCTATAACAAATAAAGACTTGTATGATTTTTTATTTTTTTATTTTCTGTGTTTAGTTTACAGAATAATTAAATGTCTTAAGGGGCATCCGCTGCAAGATATCGATAGTGTTCATACAAAAAAAGATTTGTCTTAAAGTATCGCAGTTTCAGAGCCCTGCAGCTATGAAGCGGTCACTTTAGAAAATAAAAAGTAATTTTAAAATCTCAAGCGTTAATTCATAATATTCTGAAGGCAGCGCCGGTAAATCTGGCAGACGGAGCGGGGTAGGTATTTTTATAAAATTGCAGAGCAGGTGTCGCAGAAACGACTCGAATCTCGATATTGGTTTTATGCTAATATATATTTACCCAGAATCGGAATAAAAGGAAAGATGGGGGACCGTAGTTCTCATAGTCGAATCGGTTTAATTTCACGATTAGAAGGATTTTTATGATCGCGTGGTATTTTGTTTTATTATCGCAGTGAAATGTAGGAACGGTAATTTATCAATACGAACCTTCATGGTTTTTTTTTTGGAAATTTTACTGTCCAAACCCTCTGTCATCATTTTGCTTATAATTTTTCTGTGTCTTGATTTCAATATGATCGCGATGTTCTTGTAATCCTTTGTTGTTGTTTTCTATTAATTTGTCGCAAATTTGTAAACGTGATTTTATTAAAAAAAAATTATATACGAGTATTCTGTTGTTCATTGATGGCTTCTTTACAACTTCTGATCAGTGATGTACCTGACTGGTCTGCCTCGGACGGGGCTCGACGAGGAGGAGATACAAGTGAGAAGATACGACCCATGGCCCATGAAAAATTGTTGTCGCCAAACATAATTTTTGTGCTGATTGCTACGGTTCGCTCGATGCATTTTCTCTGATCTTCTATTAGATGTATATTATATTCCTTATTAATATATAAAGTTTTCTACAATGAATTGAGATTCCACATCGTTTAAAATCAATAATTTTATTATTAAAGAATCGATTGAGTTAGACTTCAAACACATTTGAATGAAATCGTTTTGAGTGGCATTGAACGATTAAAGATACAAGGAGCCATTTTACATTTATAATGGATATCTGATATTCGAACAGTTCTTGAAGAAAATCCAACCTTTTCTATTGTTCGTTAGATATATTTTTACGGTCCTGCTATTTTTTAGCAAATGCGGTGTTTTAAACGATAACTTTTTTTTTAAAGTTACGTGTGTTTCATGTCTTATAAATAATAATAATAATATTCTCAACTTATTTCATTTTGTCTTTCCACTCGGTCATGCGTGTTTGTTTTTATATCACAGCTATGTTCCTACATACCTAAGGGGAAATGGTCGCGAACACGTTTTACGCTATTCACGCGATTCATCTAGACCAAAAACAAATAAGATCTGTATTTATTATTGATAGATTATAAATCATATATTCCTTCGTCTATCAGTCAAATCTCCCAAAAACAAAACCTACTGAGTTTCTTGCCGGAACTTCTCGGTGGGTCGCTCTTCCGATCCGGTGGTAGATTCTGCGAAGTACTGCTCTTGCTAGGGCTTGTAAACTCCCTCAAGTTGAGGCCGTAAAGTCACCTAACCATCGGTGCGTAGGTTAAATAACCCCTTAAGCTACCAGCGGTAGGAAAAGAAGGACAAATCAAATCTTATTCTAGTGGACTTTAAAATGGTCCATAATGACTTTATAATCGATTCGAATTTCAGTTTCTCCACTGAGAAAACTCACCAAGAAACTCAGAGCTTTTTTAATTGAACTTATACATTATACAGAAAAAATTGCTATGATACATTATCTAATTTTAAGTTATTATCTATAAGAAACATGTCTTCATTATCGAAATACTGCCCGAAGGCCGATTCAACACTCCTGTTGTGTGTGTGGCAGAATCTCAAATCCACGCGGTTTTATCATTGACAGTAAGCCCGTACGAGGTCACAGATAAAAGCCATGTGATAAATATCTATGAGGTACTCCCCGTGATTTGTGGCCTCCGGTTTCGAATTGATCTCAGAATTATCTTGTTTACGACGAGAACTGAAGGCTGGAAACTTTCCGACTTGTGTAATCCGATTGGAGATTTTCGTGAAAGAAAAATAATAACGATGCTATATACCATGTAAGGGATAAATAACGTTTTTTTTAATGCTAATCGAATAAGAAATTAGGATTTTCGATCATCATAACACATTTAAAAAAAAACTATATAGTTTCAAAGATTATTTTAATGTTATTTTCCTTCGATTGTTTAAAATTTTATAATAATAATAGTACCACTTGAGCGGTCGGTTCGTTCTTTTGTCGTCAATTTTATATTCTAGCAGACCCGGCCACACGTTGCTGTGGCTACGGTTTTTGTTTCTAAACAACACGCGGCCGGCTATGCTAATACCAAAAATTGACAAAGTAAGAAGAATTGGATTTCACTGTATTACGTTTACCTCTTGCGTTGCGTTAGCC